ATATATATATATATATATATATATATATATATATATATATAGACACACACATGAAAGATTGTGTGAGTATATGAGTTAAGGTGAGAAGTTTAAGAAAAGATTTGAACCATTGATCATTTTTAATTTCACCACATCCTATGAATTGCATTTATCACGAAAATTGATCCAGGTGCATCTCGGTGCATCGTATTAATATTGATATTCAATTAGAATTGATCTGAATGTGAAAATCTTTTCTCAACATAACTCTTCATCTTACCAGAGCCCAACTCTCTCTCTCTCTCTCTCTCTCTTTCTCTCTCTCTCTCTCTCTATATATATATATATATAGGGGAGCGTTCAAATAAAAACCACCCAATTTGTATAAACTGTGAAAACCACATTCAACCAATCATAATTTTTCATTTTGTTCATTTTTTTTGTAATTATGAGTGGTTGATTAACCATTTTTATTTTGGAGGGTATTAATCATGGATATTATCGTTTTCATTATTTTAATTATAGAGAAATACATGAAACAGTTTCATTAAATATTATATGAAATAAATTCATCAAGAAAAATATTATATGAAACAATTTCACAAGATTAAACAATTTCATGAATTTTTTTTCATAAGATTAAACAATGAAATGGACGTATGAGGGTGGTTTGTACAGTTTACACAAATGAAGGCGGTTTTCATTTGATCATTCATATATATATATATATATACTTTGTAATTTGTTAGTTTGTGGTTGGTAAAACATTTTGCTGAAAGATTAATAGATAGAATTCTGAAATTGTAGCAAAAGTTGCGTTAGAAAGGAATCCAAAGCAAATACTTTTACTTATGCTTTGCATCGGAAAATGTGTATTAATTTGTGCGAGGAATTTGTACAAAAATAACGTCGTTTTCAAAGCAAGTAATATTCTTCTTTCCGGAACATTTCTACGAATTACAATATAAACCTACACTTTTCACTATTATCAAACTCCATATTTATTAATGAATAACCTGTTTTTTTTTTCAATTCATCACCAACTTATCAAATTAAGAACTCTCTTAAAAATTCATAATCACAGTTTTATAAGCACCTCCTTTTTGTGGATGTAATTGATTATAATTAATATATTAATAGTTATAAAGTCCAGGAATTAAATAAAAGTTAAGAAAAATATCACTTCTCACAAACTTTATGGTAAGAATCAAAGTTTTTATTCAATCACCAAAAAGATACGAGGTTTTTATAAGAAAAATCTCCACAAAGTTATAAAACACTATATTTTGCTACTAAGAAGTTATATTGGAGATGCTATTACTATTAAGTCAACCCCTAAGTTATTAATTTGACTTCATTTAAAAGAAAACCAACGTTGTTACATTACGGATGAAACCTAATGGGTTACTCTAACGTGTAAAATTATGGAACCAATTTGTAGGTGTATGTGGTGCCATGATTGAGCCAATTTGCCATTGGTATGACCACCACCTCACATGGCTCCACAAGGGTCTTGGACCCGACTCGTCCCTTTCATGCATTCAAAACCATGGACCGCATATGCTCATTACTCAACACGTTTAGTAAAAAAAATTTGGATGGTTACATATTTTAATAGAAAAATATATGATTATTAATAAAATAGTTTAGCTTAATCTGTAATAATGATATAGTAGGTTAATTCTTTATAGACTAAAGTTGATGTAAGTAACATGATGTTGATCGCTAGTAATTATTGTAAGCCATTTTTAACTTACTAAGTTTACTTGTAGTAAATGACACTATTGATAGTTTATCACCACACTAATAGATGAAGAAGTAATATTATGAGATTCAGTAATTTTTTTTTATTAATATAAGATATTTAAAAATAATATTTTTTGGATTTGTCTGATCGGCTCTTTTAACTTTGACAGTCATTGTACTTTAGGGTACTATTTGATAGATGTGGGCACAATGAGAAGGGTAGATTGAATATGGACCGATCTATCATATAGTTGGGTTTTAAAAAGACTCATAAATCTCTATTTCGTTATAGTCGAAAGTTTGAGACATGATTCAGGTATTAGTTTTCAGAGTTTTTTTTAAATATCGTTATTGTTGTATTTACTTTTAGAGTTTTTGTATCTTGTAAAGTTTTTAACAACATATAATTTCTTCGTCAAATTAAGTTTCAACATTACATTCAGTCTGAATTTATGTGTAAATTTATAAAAAGAATTTATATATATATATATATATATATATATATGTTTTAACCACATTAAAATTAAGGTCCAACCCCATAAATTTTGTTAGCCCAAGTTCAACGTTAATTTTTTTTATATAATTTGTTTTTTTTTCCCATTAATTGATAATTGTGAATTATTAGGATCAGAGTTTTTTCTGTAATGTATAATTATTAGGGTTAGGGTTTGTTAGTTGACGTCAAATTGTTAACCTTTTGTTGTTAACTTTTAGGGTTAGAGTGAATTTATCTCATAAACTAGATATAAATATAAAAAAATCTAAAAAGTCATGCTAAAAAATTAATTAGAAAAATTTAAATTGATTTGAATTTCCTACTTTAGTTTTGGAAAAAAAATGTATTTATTAAGTACACGACACTTACATTGGTTACGTCACTTACGTGCATCTTTTTTATGCAATTGAGATGGAATTATACAGAACTCAGGTGACATTTGGCTTAAAAGAACTTTTTCTAAATCAAACTCATTCCAAAAAAAAATGAAATTGAAATGAGAAGTGGTCAATTGATATGTCCGGTTGGCACGGAACAAAATGAGATCACTATTCAATTCATTTGTGAATTTTATTTTCATATGTGAGTTCATTTTTGAAATATACAACAATGGTTTTTATTCGTTAATATAAAAATAGTAATTAATAGCACCGATATTGAGAGTTTTCGAACTATGGCCCAAGGATCCACCGTTTAGTTGCCGACATGTTTGTTACACAATTCAATTCACGGGGACAAAAACCCAATGCCTTCGTCATATAAGAAATATTTATTTTTAGTTCCGACAAAAAATCAGATGCATTTTAATATTCATTTTCCAAATATTATGTCATTTTCACATAACCAAATGGAAGGCATATAATAGAATCATTAGTTCCAAACCGTTTTGGTGTGCAATATAAAATAAATAATTGTCATTGAAATTATTTGTTATTAAGTAACAAAGACCCAATTTGAAACTGCAAAAGTAACATGTTTTAGGACTTGAAACTTATTGCCATTATTTTGAAATAAAGTACATTGATATCTTAAATTGGCAATTATATATGTCATTAATGTGACCTCCTTAGCTACTCAATATTAAATGAGTATGTTACCTCAACCACTTTTTTTCTTCAACTCTTTTTGTGCTTTCTTCATTTCCTTAGATGTCGGTTGGTTGGATTTTCTTTTCCATTTTATTAATTTTTAAGTATTTAAGAAACTGAGTTGTTATTTATCGGCAGATTAATAAGTTGATCAATGTTGAAGACTGTATGCTATTATTTTAGTAATTGTTATAAAATATAATAGCAACTACATTAGTTTAAGACATTATTTATTTTTACCTTAAAATTTGGATTGGTACAATTGATAATTCATCGTGGGCTTGCATCGTGTAACACCCGAAAAAGAAGGGGAAATGAAAAGATTGTAACTTTAGTTGGATCAGAAATAAATTAAAATGGATCAAGATGGCAGAGATATAAAGTGGAAGGACCTGTTTTGCCAAGTCCTACAAGTTTGAAATTCAATCGTAGATGGTTTTCTTTTTATCAATTTAGCGGCAGTAGTTTCCGGGACGTTTTGGCACCCATTTAAGCATTGTTTGAGTAATATTTTTACGCCATTTTAGTTCTTCTATATGTTTCGAGCAAAACCATGTTGGTGATACGAAAAATGATTGAGATTTGAGAGAGAACTTGATCAAGGAACGAATTATGGTTCACATGAGATTAAAGCAATGAATTTGGGGACTGGGAGCGACCAAATGACGTGTAAGCCTACACTAGCTTGAGGTAAGTTTAATGTGATTTAAAACGAGATGCATATAATAGTATAATATTTAGTATTTTATCATGAAGGTATTTTTGTTGTGATTTTAGATATATTATGACACATTCATAAGGGTGCGTTTGGTGCGCAGACATGACAGAACAGGACAGGACAGGACATGGTAGGACAGGACAGGACAGGACAGCTGTTCAGCGTTTGGTAAGACAGGACAGGACAGGGCAGAACTGGTTAAAATGACCAATTTACCCCCAATGAGCAATCAGAAACAACAATCAGAAACAGCAAACATGAATCAAAAACAGCAAACATTAATCAAAAACAGCAAACATGAATAAAAACAGCACACAAAATGCAGTAGCAAACATGAATCAAAAACAACAAACATGAATCAAAAACAGCAAACATGAATCAAAAACAGCAAACATGAATCAAAAACAACAAACATGAATCAAAAACAGTCGCAAACAAAATCAGAAACATGAATCAAAAACCAGCAAACAAAATGAATCAGGTGCTGTTTTAGCATATATGAACAACTACAAGATGCATCAGATTTCATCAAACCCAGCTCACGAATTCAAGAAAACAGCGAACACAATCATCAATTAGTTGAAATTGCAAGAAACCCACTTTGCTGCTAACAGAAAATAACTCTAAGGAATTGTAAATCAGACCTCATTTTCATGGAGGAGCATATTAGGTATTCCCTTATTAACAGGGAACCTTCGACCAGTCTCCGGGCAAACGAGCGTGCCTTCCTCGAGGTGAAGCTCTAGGAGTGCATGGTGGAACTTCTGCAAGAACTGAGAATCGAGCACCGAAGGATCGGGGACTTCGTCAGGGAGTTCATCGTATCCCATGGTCTTTGAAGCGTCAGCTAGGGCTTTCCAATCGATCTTGGAGAACATGTTCTTGAGGAAATCAGGATTGAAATCGACTTGCTTCTCGACGACTCTTTCTGCTTCGATTAGGAGAAGGAAGCCATTGATTACTCCCTCGACGACTCTTTCTGCCTCATCTTGTTATTCGTTTCTCCGGCGGCGGCGGTCAGGGAGAAGGGATGTCGCCGTCGAGATGGAGAAGGAGAAGGTTAGGGGTGCCATGGAGTGGAGGCGGCTTTGGCAGGTGCAGGGGCGATGTGGGGAAGAAAGGGGGAAGGGGTAGTGGGGTAAAAATGTCTCTGTTCCACTTAGTTCCAGGGGTAGGAAGAGAACAGCCGTGTCCCATCCTTGTACTAGTTAGTTCTACTTAGTTCTACATTAAACCACACCAAACGTAGGACAAATCTGTTCTGTTCTGTCCTGTCCCATCCTGTCCAACGTACCAAACACACCCTAATTGTACAGTCTTTTAAACATGAAAAAGCCCGCTATGTGTTGATCGAGGAATGAGTTGTGCATGTTGAGCTATTCATACTAAGTCAGGCACATGTGTGGTTTTGTAGAAGTTACAAATACCATGAAGGTGTCTCTGTACATTGTTCGTCTAGAAAGAAGATACAAGTACCATGAGGGTGCATTTGTACACGGTTCGTCCAAGAAGAAGGTACATGCACCGTGAGGGTGCCTCTGTACATGGTTCATCCATAAGAGTTATTCAAAACCAGTACATACCGTGGCCACTATATATTGTTAAGTCATATGATGTAGTTGACTCTCACACTGCAACAGTTCAATTGAGGTATCATGTGTGTTGAGTTGTATTATTTTGCATGCTTGGAAGATGTGCAAAGTTTATATATTAGTTGTTTGTTTTCAGCATTTCATGTGATAGACTTGGTTGCTGTTGCTTTGGATCATTTCAGTCTGCTAGTTTGTAAAGCGTTTGATCAGATGTTTAAGTCCTCTACTGCGAATATTTGTAAAATATTTATGGTTGCAGTTTTATTTAGTTGATGGTTTAGTTTAGTCACAACCGAAAAAATGGGGTGTGACGTATTGGTTGAAATCAATATATCTTTTTTAAGTAATAGAAAATAAAAATGTGTTCCACAGTACATGTAATAATAACATTAAAAACAATGAGAACAAAGGGCTCACTTTTTAACGTGTTAGAGTATCTTCAGCCATTGTGTTATATTGTTGTAATTTTTTAAATTCAGAGATTTCTACCTTCTCTATTTTTTTACTCAAATTTGGATGGGCGTTTAAGACAGTTTTTGAAGCAAGTAAAGTTTTTCTTAAATCTCAAAAATTTATAAAATAACATAGAGCTATTGAAGATGTTTTTAGAACATTGGCATATGTCAATTCGACCCCTTTAACTTATTATGTTTAAGTTTAGGTAACTAAAGCTATAAAAAAAAAATCAAATTAACTTATTATGTTTAATTTGAGTGACTCAATTATAAATTTTATAATGTAATAAAAATATACATCATTTAAAAACTTATATTTTTTTTTAATATTCAGGATCAGGACCGGCAATCCATAACCGGTTGAACCACCTTGACTAGTCTTACCATTTTCGACCGTGATCGATTATGGCAAAAGCTTGGGACCGATTAGGACCGACCCAACTTGGAACCGGTTTTTGGCCATCACTACTTATTAGTTGCTGAATCCTCATTGTTCCACAACTAACAAATTGGATGCCTAATTAAATTCAAATAATTAATAAACAATTAAACGTTAAACGGTTGAATCTAACAATTAAAAGAAGAAGTCACATGGTATGTAAAGTTATGGTTAACTGTTGTCACTTTATTATATATAAATAAACTTTTTGTATTAACTTTTTATTAAAAAGAAGATCAGTTATTCCGTCTTCGGATTTTTGGATCTTGTGTTGCTCTGTCGTTCAATGCTTGGGTTTATCTGTTATATACGGTGGCTGTGGTTTTAGATTGTTTCTGCGTCTCGACGTTCCCTTTGTCTCTATGTTTTTTGTTTTTTTATGAATGAATATATGGGTGGTATTTAGAAAAATAAGATATTTTATGGAGTAAATTTATGAAAGGAATAATAAATGAAGATTACTATCAGAACAGTAGAACAAAAAGGGAAGGAAAAGGAAGAAAGTGGATGCAGCCTTATTTAGTGAGTGGGTTGGAGGCTTCCATTTTGTAGCAGACAATGATGGGTGGCCTTCATAAAATTTCATGGTCCCACCCAATTACATAACACACGTGTCGTCTTCACCTCTCCAGATATATTGTCTCTTCTTTCTTTTAAAAGGTAATTTGACAGTTGTTGAATGATTTGGTGATTCGAATGATATGGTGGTTTTTATGATATAGTTCAAAATAAAATATAATTGTTTGGTAGCTGTTTACAATTAAATTAGGGCACTAAATAGTTAAGGGAGACTTAAGATACAAAATCATTCAGAATGTTTTTGAACCATTAAGAGGCAGACTCATTTTTTGCCAAACAAGATTCACCTCTTAATGATTCAGAGTCTGCCTCTTAATAAAACTATTAAGAGGTAAAAAAATAACCCCTTACCCACACATTAGTCAAGTGCTTCTTTACCCGAACTCTGCCCCGTAAATATTTATTCGTTAACTAAAATAAATTATTGGTAAGCGTTTTGAATCGTCATTTATTAATAAGATTTTCGATCATTGTCTTTCTTTTTATCGGGTTAGATTGTCGGTCATTATTATCTTTACCTAATAAGGTATTTGAATCAACAAGATAAGTGTTTGATAAACGACCTATTACTTACTTCACTTACTAAGTATGGTAAGCCACAAAATTATTATAGGATAAGGGGCATTATAAGAGTCAAAAATCTAATTCAATAATTGAGAGATTCTTTTTAGACGTTGAGCATTTACCGGGTAAAAAACCTTATCCACGATCACTATTGATGGTAAAAATTGTTATTAGATAAAGTATCTGAAAGTGATGACTTTTGATATAAAGCGTTACCTAATAAGCATTTGACAAAATGATAGTAAGAGTTATCATGTTCACTTATCGGTAATATTTCCATCATCAAAATAACACGATAATCATAATCTTTGACATGTTACACTTATTGGATAAGATTTATGATTATCGAAATAACACGATAAGAACTATTTTTTACCGAGTTAAAAATAATAAGTGTGTAGTTACCGGATAAGAACACCTCGAACAGATTATTCAAAATAGATAAAATGGAGAATTTGATGATTTTTTCTTTTGATCCAACATATATTCTAAAATATAGAAAGTAAGAGAAAGAAAATGTAAAAATTCTCTTAAAACAAGAAAAATAAATTCATAACTTTTTCGTACATTACAACTGAATATGAATGCACCCTTAAAAAGTAATACCGGAAATTATGTGTAATTATTGTACGGTTACAAGAGGTTATGAGTAGTTATGAATCGGTGGTATCAACGAGTGTTAATGAGCCGAGTCGAGTTGTAGGTTATTTAAACTCAATTCAAAAAAATATTACCATGCTCGAATTCAAATAACATTAATCAGTGTCATTGAAACACTGATAAATAATCATCGAAATTCACCTGATACTAAAATGTCAGTGTCATCTCTTCTTAAACTTCTTTTAGGTTTTGAGGTGTTGCCCAAAACCTTGCAAGAACCGCTCCAGTTTGATCCTACACATGAAATAGTTATATGTCATATATAAATCCATGTTTTTATAACTTATAATTTAGATATATATATATATATATATATATGTTAATTTATATATATATATATATGTGTATATATGTGGTATAAAATACTCCCTTTTTTAAACCGTTTATAAAAAGGTCCATTTATGCATTTAAAAAGACTGGAATTTCATAATATATACAATGAATCAACACTTTTCAAAAGTTTTACGTTTTAGGGGGTATACCTGTCATGATAGCAAACTTGAAATGCGAGAGAGGAATTTTAGCCAAGGGTCTGAATGTTAATAACAAATTACAAGGGACGATTATTGGCATTTGAGAAAATTTATGGACCTGCATTGTGATTTTAAGAAATTGGTAATCATGAACTCCTCAGGCCACATTCCAGTATTTCGGATTGTTGTACTGTACATGTGATTGTGAGCGCATGTTCGTATTTTGTATTATTTTGGTGCAAAAATGACGTGAATGGTAATTTACCTTTTACATTATTTTCGTATATTAAAAAAGTTATTTAAATATATGAATTTATTTTTATTTAAACAAGTTTTATCTTTTTTAATAACTTTTTAAATACATATTAAACTCCGTGTCGAAATGTTAGTTAAGAAAAATGTTTTTTAATCTAATTATTAAATTTAATTTAATGTAATATTCATCCATTTTTTAAAATTTATTAAAGAATAAAAAATAAAAAATAAAAAATAAAAAATAAAAAGGAGGAATAAGAATGGGGACCACAGCAGTTGTCCCTATCGATTACGATTGCCCACAAAGGCTCATACAAACGTGTACGAGTAAAGCAACCTCCACCCAACCCCTTAAAAACCATGTAGCAATAATTAAATGTCGTATATGAAATAATTTTAACATTCTTTAAAAACATACTCTTTTTAACCATATGATCTCACAAATTACATTCATTAGGAAAACACATGTGCTCAGCATAAATTCGAATACCATTAAATTTACAGGTTTAATTACAAAATATAATCATGAAAATAAAATAAATGACTTGTCAGTTAATTATTGTTACATCTTAATAAACGTCTATTGTATTAAAGATTTCGAGTTTTGATGATTCAAGTATCATTAAATTTACAGGTTTAATTACAAAATATAATCATGAAAATAAAATAAATGACTTGTCAGTTAATTATTGTTACATCTTAATAAACGTCTATTGTATTAAAGATTTCGAGTTTTGATGATTCAAGTATGTGTGACGGTGCTTTTGAATCTTACAGATTTGGTTAGACGGTGATCAAATACCATTTGATTTGGCTTGAGTTGTTAACAACAGATTCACTGTCATTCTTAATTTAATGTTGCTAATCCGTTCTAACTTAGTTTTTATTTTTCACAAACATTAATTAGAAGTGATAAAATCATATAAGCTAATACGAACTTTACTATAAATACATATTTAGTGATTTATAATTAGGCATTAAAACTTAAATTGAACAAACAGTTGTTGGTCGAAATCTTCAAGGTCAAATCAACTCTCATATAAAAGTTAGTCCTTTGAACTTCTTCTCATAGATCATCCGGTCGAGTTTGTTCGTGGTTAGATTAGATTTTTCTGACTAAAATCTTCAAGGTCTCATGGGATTAATACAGTTGTGTGCAAACTGATCGAATATCCACGGTTATAAAAAAAAAAGGTATCGTTATATCACTCGTTTTTAATATGACATGTTTTGAATCCGTCTTTTTTTATGTCATCAATTCTTGAAATGCCTACATTCCTTTTAAGAAAAATGCATCTAAAATTTCCTCCTCTTGTTACTAGTCATTTAGTCGAGCCAAGTACAGTGTCCTTCCAAATATCAATTGAGATTGCTACTCCCCTAGCTAGTGAGGTTTGCGTATTTTGCATGTTTCAAATGCTATGATCTTCTGTGATTTTCTTGTGTTAGATGTGTTTGTTGTCCTTGAGCAATGATGACTGGCTACCTGAACCATGATATAGACAAGTTGGTTTTTGGTTTATTGCAAA